GTGCGGGAGGGAACCTGGGAGGATTCGACCCTTGAGAAGTATAGGGCTAGGGCAGATGCGGGAGAAGAGGAAGTAGATGGGGAGCAGTACGAGTGGGTTGGGGATAGGCTGTATCGGATTCCTAAACCTTCCCAGATAAAGAATACCTCTCTGCAGAATCTGCAGCTGGTGGTCCCTGCGAAATACCGGCAAGAGATTCTGCGGATTGGGCATGATGTACCGTTAGCCGGACATCTAGGGTCCCGCCGCACAGCTCATAGGATCACCCAAAATTTCTTCTGGCCCAATTTTAACCGAGATGTGCGGGTATATTGCAGTACTTGTGACACATGTCAACGGGCAGGTAAGTGGGGGGATAACCCAAAAGCTAGGCTTATATCGATGCCTATAATTGGGGAACCCTTTTCTCGCATAGCCGTTGACATTGTGGGTCCACTGGCCAGGGCTAGTCCATCAGGTAAGGAGTATATTCTCACCATGGTGGGCTATGCCATGCACTATCCAGAGGCAGTAGCGCTGTCCAACATAGAGGCAGAGACAGTAGCTGATGCCATGGTTACAATTTTTACTAGGGTAGGGTTCCCTAAGGAGATCCTCTATGACCAGGGAACTCAGTTTACCACTGTGCTCACCCAGCAGCTGTGGAAGGTGTGCGGCATTAAACCGCTGCTTAGTTCACCTTATCACCCACAGACTAATGGTCTCTGCGAGCGCTTTAATGGCACCCTCAAGCAGATGTTGAGGACCTTTACTGACACTTGCAGAAACTGGGAGCGATTCATGCCTCATCTGCTATTTGACTACAGAGAGGTGCCCCAGGAATCTACTGGGTTCTCTCCCTTTGAGTTACTCTATGGGAGAAGGGTCCGCGGACCCCTGGACCTCATTAGAGGACACTGGGAGGGAGAGACAGAGCAGGAAGGGACCCCCATAGTACCCCATGTCCTGGACCTCCGAGACCACCTGGAGAAACCTGGAGAAAATCGTGGTACGATCGGGGTGCCCGGCAGTGGGTCTTCCAGGTTGGGCAGAGGGTATTGGTGCTTAAACCTGTGAAGACAAACAAGATGCAAGCATATTAGCAGGGCCCGTATAAGGTCATAGCTCAGGTGTGCGATACTACCTACCTTATAGCCAGCTGTGCAGATGAGAGGATACAGTGATCCTTTCAAGTGAACATGCTGAAGGAGTATCAGGAGAGACCAGAGGATGTCGCTGCAGTGTGTGCCCCTGCTGCAGATGACCCAGAGAATCTACCACTGCCCGATTTATTAGAGCAGGGCCCCCAGACTGACCTCACCAGTCTTGTACAGCTAAGGGATCGGTTAAGCCCCACGGAGAAGGTACAGACAAGGCAGCTTCTGTGGGAGAAGCAGGCGACGTTCTCCCAAGAGTCCGGCTACACTACCCTAACTGTACATAAGGTAGAGACCCCTAGACAGAACCCCCTGCGACAGCCCCCTGACCGTATCCCTGAAGCAGTCTGAGAAGGAATGCGGAAGGAGATACAGGAGATGACTCGGCTTGGAGTCATTGAACACTCTGAGAGTCCTTGGGCCTCGCCTGTAGTCCTGGTGCCTAAGAAAGATGGGACCACCCGGTTCTGTGTGGACTACAGGCGACTCAATGAAAGGACCACCACTGACGTCTACACGATGTCCCGGGTAGACGAATTATTAGACCGTATTGCCAGGGGACGCTATCTGACCACCATAAACCTGTGTAAGGGCTATTGGCAGATCCCCCTAGTCGAGGATGCTATCCCCAAGTCGGCCTTCGTCACCCTATTTGGCCTGTACCAGTTTAAGGTCATGCCATTCGGGATGAATATGCTCCGGCTACCTTCCAACATATCGTGGATAGACTCCTCGATGGCTTCCAGGAATTTGCTTGTGCATACCTGGACGACATTGTGGTCTACAGCGAGTCCTGGGAGGAACACCTGGTCCATGTAGGGGTGGTTCTGGACAAGATTCAGGCCGCTGGCCTGACCTTGAAACCAGACAAGTGTCATCTAGGTATGGCTGAAGTGCAGTACCTGGGGTGTTGGAGCCAGAGACCGGAGCCAGCCAAGGTAGAGGCCGTGGCTAACTTGTCCACACCTATCATTAAGACCCAGGTGTTAGCCTTCTTGGGGAGAGCAGGGTACTACCGATGTTTTGTCCCTGACTACAGCACTATCGCCAAGCCCCTGACTGACCTGACTAAGAAGAATTTACCTAAGCAGGTCCTGTGGTCTCCAGCTTGTAAAGCCACGTTTCAGGCCCTGAAGCAGGCTCTTGTGAATGCCCCTGTCCTGGCTGCCCCATTCCCTAACAAACGCTTTCTTGTCCACACAGATGTTCCATGTATGGACTGGGGGCTGTGCTGAGCCAGGTCGGGGAAGACGGAGGAGAACACCCTGTCACATATCTCAGCAGAAAGTTACTACCTCGGGAAGTCAGCTATGCGGCAGTGGAGAAGGAGTGTTTAGCCCTGGTCTGGGCACTGAAGAAGTTGAGCCCCTATTTATACGGGCATGAATTCTCCTTTATAACGGACCACAATCCCCTTGTTTGGCTTAATCGGTAGTGATGTCCTGAATGGTTCGCCACGAACGGTTCGCCACAAACGGTTCGCCGCGGACTCCAGTCAGCAGACACATTCCAGCCAATCAGCAGCAGACCCTCCCTCCCAGACCCTCCCACGTCCTGGACAGCTCACTAAGAATGCAGCTTCAAAATGGATGCTGTCCAGGAGGGAGGGAGGGTCTGGGAGGGAGGGTCTGCTGCTGATTGGCTGGACTGTGTCTGCTGACTGGAGTCCGTGGCGAACCGTTCGTGGCGAACCGTTCGGCGAACCGTTCGTGGCGAACCGTTCGGCGAACCATTTGGGACATCACTATTAATCGGGTCTCAGGAGACAATGGTCGACTCCTACGGTGGCGTTTAGCCCTCCAACCTTCAGCAACCTACCGACCCGGTAAGCAGAATGGGAATGCTGACGGATTGTCCCGGCAAACTGACATCCCTACCACCTCCTAGTCCGGTCATCCCCAAGTTGACCCGCCAAAGGGTCAAGCCGGGTCTGCCGTAGTGTCCCACAAGGAGGGAGCCATGTGACAGATCCATCTGTCTAAGTTCTATCTGCTGGTTTGCCTAATTGTTATACTTCCGTGGAATTACCTGCCCGTACGCCCCTGTTCGTCTATTTCAGATTATACTGAATAAAACTACCGAACGGACGGCAACCCAGAGGAGAAGTGTGCTGCTGGTTAACCTATTGGCCTCAATTAGAACGTTGTGGTTAACCGCAGACACCTCTTGAGTAGAATCGTATGCAGGGTGGTTGTCGTTCGCATGTCGACCACGAGGCGGCGGCCATTTTAAACACGTGAATGCACAGCGGTGTTCGGCACTCAAACTATGGAACTAAAAACGGACACTTTTTCTACCGAACACTGCTGAAACTGCTGACCGCCCTTCTTATCCCCGGGCATGCGTGACTTTTATTACACAAATGGACTTAACCCAGATAGTCATCCCATGGAGTCAATCGTATACCAAAAGAGCAATGTGAAAGACTTTGACTCCATGGCGATTGAACTGTGTGCATTGGGTCTGAGCGTTATTCGGTAGTTATGTGCGTTCAGACCCAGGCTATCTGGGGATACATTACACAAACTAAAAGCATTCGGTAGTTTTATAGTTATGGATTTTTATGTGTTTTTTTGATACTATGTAAAATGGCGATTTGCCTCTATCCCTGGAGATAATTGGATTTCTTCCCAATTATCTCCAGGATAGAGAGGAGGAATCATTCCCTTCAGGCTTTTTGCAGTAAACACGGTCTTTTCAGAGAAAATAACTCCTAAGTGGAATCATTCCCTTCAGGCTTTTTGCAGTAAACACGGTCTTTTCAGAGAAAATAACTCCACTGCCCACTCCTTAGATGGCTACTAGAGGTGCTTCTTGGGGCAGTACTGCCTAGTGTGCAGCACTGTCATTCAGTGTCTCCACCCTCTGCATGCAGACACTGAGCTTTCCTCATAGAGCTGCATTGATTTAAGTTATCTTTATGAGGAGATGCCGATTGGCCAGGGCTATGTTTGACTTGTGCTGTCTCTGCCCCTGATCTGCCTAGTTGACAGTCTCAGCCAATCCTATGGGGAAGTATTGTAATTTGCTCAGACCACCACTTCTGATGATGTCAGCAGACAGAGTCAGTTCAGAGGCAGAGCCAGCAGCTGTAGACTTGAATACAAGTAAGATTTTACTATATTTAGGGAGGCAAGAGGGGACCAGGGGGTCTAGATGGTGGTTTTAAGATAATAGGGTCAGAAATACATGATTGTGTTCATGACCCTATAGTGTTCCTTTAAACAAGAGTATGTGAAGAGTAGTTAGGGTTGCCACCTTTCTTGGAAAAAAATACCAGCCTTAAATAATTTGCATAATTAATTATGTATGCGTGACATCACATGATGTAAATCACAAGGAGTGACATAAGAGAAAAATCACCAACAAACTACTCACAGTTTGAGTCTGCTGTATAGATGGATTGCTCCCAGTGTCTCCCTGTCTCCCAGTGTCTTAGTTTCGCAAGTCACCCAGTGTCTCAGTGTCCCTATGAATCATAGTGTCAGTGTCTCCATGTCGCCTAGTCCCCTAGTCTCCCAGTGTCTGTTTCCCCATTTCTCCCAGTGTGTCAGTGTGTCCCCATGTCACTAGGCTACTAGGGGACACAGTTAGACATGGGGACACAGAGACCTAGGGACACTTGGGGACACTGGGAGACATGGGGGCACTTGTGGATACCTCGGGAAGTCAGCTATGCGGAAGTGGAGAAGGAGTGTTTATCCCTGGTCTGGGCACTGAAGAAGTTGAGCCCCTATTTATACGGGCATGAATTCTCCTTTATAACGGACCACAATCCCCTTGTTTGGCTTAATCGGTAGTGATGTCCCGAATGGTTCGCCACGAACGGTTCGCCACGAACGGTTCGCCACGGACTCCAGTCAGCAGACACATTCCAGCCAATCAGCAGCAGACCCTCCCTCCCAGACCCTCCCACGTCCTGGACAGCTCACTAAGAATGCAGCTTCAAAATGGATGCTGTCCAGGAGGGAGGGAGGGTCTGGGAGGGAGGGTCTGCTGCTGATTAGCTGGACTGTGTCTGCTGACTGGAGTCCGTGGCGAACCGTTCATGGCGAACCGTTCGGCGAACCGTTTGGGACATCACTATTAATCGGGTCTCAGGAGACAATGGTCGAATCCTACGGTGGCGTTTAGCCCTCCAACCTTCAGCAACCTACCGACCCGGTAAGCAGAACGGGAATGCTGATGGATTGTCCCGGCAAACTGACATCCCTACCACCTCCTAGTCCGGTCATCCCCAAGTTGACCCGCCAAAGGGTCAAGCCGGGTCTGCCGTAGTGTCCCACAAGGAGGGAGCCATGTGACAGATCCATCTGTCTAAGTTCTATCTGCTGGTTTGCCTAATTGTTATACTTCCGTGGAATTACCTGCCCGTACGCCCCTGTTCGTCTATTTCAGATTATACTGAATAAAACTACCGAACGGACGGCCACCCAGAGGAGAAGTGTGCTGCTGGTTAACCTATTGGCCTCAATTAGAACGTTGTGGTTAACCGCAGACACCTCTTGAGTAGAATCGTATGCAGGGTGGTTGTCGTTCGCATGTCGACCACGAGGCGGCGGCCATTTTAAACACGTGAATGCACAGCGGTGTTCGGCACTCAAACTATGGAACTAAAAACGGACACTTTTTCTACCGAACACTGCTGAAACTGCTGACCGCCCTTCTTATCCCCGGGCATGCGTGACTTTTATTACACAAATGGACTTAACCCAGATAGTCATCCCATGGAGTCAATCGTATACCAAAAGAGCAATGTGAAAGACTTTGACTCCATGGCGATTGAACTGTGTGCATTGGGTCTGAGCGTTATTCGGTAGTTATGTGCGTTCAGACCCAGGCTATCTGTGTCAGTGTCTCCATGTCGCCTAGTCCCCTAGTCTCCCAGTGTCTGTTTCCCCATTTCTCCCAGTGTGTCAGTGTGTCCCCATGTCACTAGGCTACTAGGGGACACAGTTAGACATGGGGACACAGAGACCTAGGGACACTTGGGGACACTGGGAGACATGGGGGCACTTGTGGATACCTCGGGAAGTCAGCTATGCGGCAGTGGAGAAGGAGTGTTTAGCCCTGGTCTGGGCACTGAAGAACATGTGGATACAGACATGTTGACACTGGGAGACATAGAGACACTGGGAGAAATGGGGACACTGAGACATTTGGGGACACTGGGAGAAATGGGGACACTGAGACACTAGGGGCACAGACATGGGGACACAGACACTGGGAGACATGGGGACACTGGGAGACATGGGGACACTGAGGGACACTATGGACCCCTGTTGGGAGACAGACACTTTGGGAGACTGGGAGACATGGGACACTTGTGGACATAGACATGTGGATACAGACATTTGGGGACACTGGGAGACATGGGGACACTAGGCACACTGAGAGATATGGGGACACAGACACTGGGGGACTTGGGCACACTGGGAGACATGGGGACACTGAAGACATTGGCTGGGAGACATGGGCACACTGGGAGACATGGGGACACTGATATACTAGGGACACTGGCTGGGGGACATGGGGTCACTGTGTCCCAATGTCCCCATGTCTCACAGCGTCCCCATGTCTCACAGTGTCCCCATGTCTCACAGTGTCTCCTAGTGTCTCACAGTATCTCCTAATGTCTCACTGTCCCCAAGTGTCTCAGTGTCCCCAGGTCTCCTAGTGTCCCCTAGTGTCTGTGTCCCCTAGTGTCTCCCCTAGTGTATCAGTGTCCCCATGTCTCCCTGCTGCCTTTCCCCCATCCCTCTTACCTGAGCTGTAGAGCTGCTGTCTGGAGTCTCTGTGCTGTGTAGATGCTCCCCCACGGATCAGTGAGTAATAGAGAGAGACAGGGATATGCCTTTACTTCCTATACATGCCTCTCTCCACACACAGTGACCCCTACTGGCCGGTGCTGGTATCGCAGAGAAATCTCAGTTTACACTGAGAAAAATTCCTGCAATTGTATTGCCGGTATTACTGCAATACTGGTACGGCCAGGCAGCCTTACATACCAGCTGTACCAGTAAAATACCTGTCAGGTGGCAAACCTAAGTGTAGTGTGTAAAAAAAAAAAAAAATGGGCCTATTCCATGGGCCTGGGCCTGGAGCTGCAGCTCCATTAGCCTCTATGTTAATCTAGGCCTGCTTGCAGGGTTGCATATAGCCCTGAGCAGGGTTTGAATGTAAGCATGTTGCTGTATGGAGCAGTGGTAGATCCAGAGCCTGGTCTCGGGAGAGGCACTTGTAGATTATTTAAAGAAATAATCCAGGCACAATAACTACTACAGCTCAGTGTAGTAGTTATGGCGCCCGTAGTGCCAGGATCCCATCGCAGAATAAGTAGTCAAACCGTTTAAGGACAGTTTGACATCTTACCTGGGGTCTGCTGGGATATAGGGCATAGGAGAGGTGGTATGTGCCAAAAGCTGTGCTGATTGCCGAATTGATGGAGGGAGACAGAGCTCGCAGTGTTACACCCCCACCAGCCATGGAAGAAACCCCCTTCCAAAATGAAATGAGGACCAGGATGGAATTTTTACCCCAGCCAGTACCACCGGAAATACTGACAGTACTGATGGCGGATGTGCAGGAGTATGTGATGGCACACAGACCGTAGGATTCCCCTTCCAGAACAGAATCTACTACTGCTTCAGTCGTCAGCCAGGTAAAGCCTAAGATCCCATACCATGCTTTTAAAATGTTTTGTGAAGAGAAAGACGAGATTGATGGGTATCTACAAGACTTTGAGAGACTATGTGACTTGCATGATTTGGAGCAGGCAGTGTGGGTACCTTTACTGGCAGGCAAACTGTCAGGTCGGGCAGCAGAAGCCTATTGGGCTATACCCAGGGAGGACACCAAAGATTATGGGGTAAAACAGGCTATACTAGAAAGAAACGCCATTACCCCGGAGGCATACCGGCGCAAGTTTCGAGGATTGCGCAAACCAGAGAAAGTCTCCCACGCAGAGTGGGCCCACAAACTGGACCAAGCCTCCCAGGGGTGGATACAAGCCAGTCAAGCAATCACCATGGAGGAGTTATGGCAATTGCTGCTGTTGGAACAATTTTTCAATGGCCTGTCCCCAGAGGCACAGGAATGGGTGAGAGATAGAAAACCCCTCACCCTAACAGAAGCTGCACGACTAGCCAACCAGCACTATGACGCCAGGAGGCATCACTGTTACCTCAACCGAGCGTACCCTCGACCCACCGCTCAACCTCATAAAGCTACCCCTACTGCACCTACAGCAACCCCATTCCGGAGAAACCCCGGGGGGGCACACTCCAACATCCAGATATAATGGCAGAGCGAATATCAGTGCCATACGTGCAAAAATGGGGCCACATGGCGAGAGAGTGTACCCAGAACCGGAGCCGTCAAGCATGGAGCCAAGTACGGCCAAACCCAGCACCAAGAGCAGCCGCCCACCACTACCATGCAGAGCCAGCCACCCAGGAGAAACTCTTTAATCAGACAGAAGAGCCCCTGGGGATACTACACGATGTGATGTCGGTACAAGCCACAGACAACAGGCAACACCATCACCAACTAGTAACCCTGGAAGGGAAAGAGGTCCAAAGGCTCCGGGATTCGGGGGCCACTCTGACTCTGATAGCACCTCATTTGGTTCCAGGTTCAGCACATACCGGCGGATCCGTAGCAGTACGAGTAGCAGGGGGAGCGGTATACAGATTACCCATCGCAAAAGTACACTTAAATTGGGGTGTTGGGGAAGGGATGGTAGAGGTGGGCCTGATGCAGAAGCTGCCGGCGGATGTCGTATTGGGGAATGACCTGGGCCTCCGTCTTTATACCTCAAGCTCCACTCCAAGAGGCCCACCCAGTAACCACAAGGCAACAGGCTCGCACCACGGCTCCATCAACGCACTCTGAGGCTCAGGTAAGAGACAGTGACCCTCCTACGACCCGTGTTACCTGGGATACGCCGACTGAATTTGAGGCAGAGGTTAAGATAGACCCTACGTTAAAAGTGTACAGGGATAGGGTGATCTCCAACCAGGCCGGATTAGAGGGAGAGCGGTATACCTGGGAAAAGGGGTTACTGTACCGTATTGCTGAAAGGGTAGTGGGGGGATCTGTGAATGTGACTACTAGATAGCTAGTAGTCCCCCAGAAATATAGGCAGGAAATTCTTCGGATTGCTCACGACATCCCCTTGTCTGGGCATCTGGGGATGATTCGCACTCGATACCGCTTGACCCACGCCTTTTTCTGGCCTAGTATATCCAAGGATGTTCGGCAGTACTGCCAGACATGTGACATCTGTCAGCTAGTAGGCAAGAGGGGTGACCGCCACAAGGCCAAGTTATGCCCACTGCACATCATAGAAGAACCATTTAGTAGAGTGGCCGTAGATATAGTAGGACCCTTACCAAAACCCAGTCCCTCCGGCAAGAGATATATCTTAACCATAGAAGACTACGCCACCCGATACCCCGAAGCAGTAGCCCTCTCCAATATCCACGCTGAGACAGTGGCCGAGGCCGTAATCAAAGTATTCTCACAAGTGGGGTTCCCCCAGGAGATCATATCGGATAGGAGTACGCAGTTCACGGCTGAGGTGACCCACCAACTATGGAGAATATGTGGCATTAAGCCTATCGTGAACTCTACGTACCACCCTCAGTCTAATGGGTTATGTGAAAGGTTTAATGGGACATTAAAGCAGGTGCTTTGTACCTTTGGAGAGGCCCATAAGGACTGGGAGCGATTCCTACCCCATCTGCTATTCGCATACAGAGAGGTACCCCAAGAGTCTACGGGATTTTTTCCCTTTGAACTACTGTTTGGGAGAAGGATGCGAGGGCCTTTAGATTTAATTAGAGAGCACTAGGAGGGGGAAAATAGTACAGATGGGACACCCATTGTACCATATGTGCTGGAGTTCAGGGACCGCTTGGAGGCACTAACACAGACCGTACGGACCAACCTCCAGGCGGCTCAACAACACCAGCGCCGATGGTATGATCGGGGAGCCAGAGACCGCAGCTTTCAAGTGGGA